ATATGTAATTTTACTTCTTTTAATTCTTATCGCCAACTTTCAATTTACTTTGTGTGATTGTACCCTTTGGAGACTTTTTTTATTGTAATCTTCATAAATAAAGTACCCTTCGTTGGGACTTTGTCTCAAGAAGTTTGTTCCTTATACAATCGTCTGAATCATCTTTTAATTGTTAGCGAGACTCGATAAATCCCTGCGAAACAGCTATGATTGCATATCATTGGGATGAATTAATGGACGTCCCAAGGATAGTATTTATAGAGGAGGAGATGTTGTGAGTGAAGAGACACGCCTCAAAACTCAACAACATTGTTGTAAAACAACCAAAATACTGAATTGCTCTGATACCAATTGTTGTGAAACAAACAACCGGATTGAGATGTTGAAATTATACGACAAATAATAATGAAGTATATGATCAAACAAAAGAATAATAAAGACAAGAATATGGCATAGGAATTAAGAGAATTTATTGACTTAAGAAAAATGGAGAAGAGAGAAAAATTACAATAAATCCTATGATTCTAATAATTTATTTTCTCACATTATAAAATTGTATAAAATAGTCTAATATTTATAGAGAATAAGTAGGAGATATTCAAACCCACACAGTAGAGTTGTTGATAAAGAAGGATACCATAAAATTGAGTCCAAAACAAATTCCAACAACTCCCAATGAGCTTCCAAAATAGAACTTCAACATGACATTGGATTGCAATAATATTCCAAATTTGAATTCTTCATGACGTGCACTTTAATTAGAATTCTTCAATTATTTCAACAAGGAATTCGGGTCACACCCAAATTCTAACAATCTCCAACTTGACACGAATTCCACCAAAGAATGAACTGACTTCCTTAACAATAACTAAAAATTAATTTCTCCAACCAAACACAAAATACTCCACCTCTTCCAATGAATCCAAGCATTATTATGCAGAATTACCTCAAATTCCAAAAAATCATAATGATGTTATAATTTACCAAAATGGGTTGTAACACACCTCAAAGTAGAATCAATACCAAATGCTTTTACAGAAGGCTCATTGCTAGATTGTACACTTTCTATTCCACTTAAATCATGTTTAACAAAATCAACATCCACATACTTTGTTCCACTGGGTCTAACTCTAGCAACTAAATACAATGACACCACAGGTGATGATGGCAAAACGGTATTATCCATGACTTCAAAACTCCACTGAGCTGTATTCTTCAAATCTGACCCTTTTATGAGCTCCTAAAGGTATTGTACCAAACTTAATGTCCACCATGGTACTGAACCTGTGCTGATTGACTCTTTCAAATTCTACAGGACCCTGAAAGATGTATAATTGAGATCTTTTCTGTCTCTTCAGAATAACCTGAGCACCTTTACAAACCTTCAAAGTTCTACCTCCAGCAAAGAACTCATAATCCTTTGAATCAAGCATAGACAAAGATATGAGATTCTTATTCAAATCTGGAACATGTCGAACCTGGCCAGTGTTCTAATTGTTCCATCTAAAAGCTTCAATCTGACTGTGTCAATCTTAGTAACCCGACAAGATGCGTTGTTTCCCATAACCACGACACATTTGGAAATAGTTTCATATGTAACAAACAAGTCCTTATGAGGACACATATGAAATACACATGCTGAATCAAGAATCCAATCATCTTCCGATTTATACTCAATGCCAGAAATAGCTAAGAGTTCTCTATCACTTACAACGTTCTCCACGAGGTTTGCTTTGCCTAAAGCATCTGAATATCTACTTGCAACAATCATTTCTTTATTCTGCAATTTGTAGCAATCCTTCTTTAAATGCTCATTCTTTTTGCAGTAGTTACAAATTTGATTACTGACATTAGATTTCGATCTGCCCCTTCCAGAACTACCATGAACAACCGGCCTTTTCCATCTCTGGCCTCAGAAACCAGATGCTTTATCTTCTCTTTTGAATACAAAGCATCCTACACTTCCTCTATGGTGAGAGTATCACGACTATATAAAATCGTGTCTCTAAATGAAGAAATCGAAGCGGGCAACGAACACAATAGGATCAATGCCAAATCTTCATCATCATACTCTACTTCCAAAGTTTCCAAATCAGCGACGATATCCTTAAATACGGCTAGGTGATCTTCCAATGATCCTCTTTCTGCCATTCGATGAGAGTATAAACGCTGCTTGAGGTTCAACTTGTTTATCAGACTTTTAGTCATGCACAATTGCTCCAACATCAACCATAAAGCAATTGCTGAATTCTCCTTCAAAACATCTTGAAGAATAGTATTTGATAGATGAAGATGAATGTGAGAAACTACCTTCTTATCTTTCCGTAATTTCTCCTACGCAGTCAAAGTTGCGGGCATCTTATCAATTCTCAACAACGCATCATCCAAATCCAGTTGTGCGAGTACTGCACGTATCTTAACCTGCCATAGAAAAAATCTAGTGCTCCGATCCAAATGCGAAATGTCATACTTCATGGAAGCTCTCATGAATAAAAAATGTCGAACAAATCAAACATTGCGCTCTTACGGAACTGCTGGACTTGGGCTCTGATACCAATTGTTGTAAAACAACCAAGATACCAGAATTATTCTGATACCAATTGTTGTGAAACAAACTATCGGATTGAGATGTTGAAGTTATATGGAAAATAATAATGAAATATATGATCAAACAAAAGAATAATAAAGACAAGAATATGACAGAAGAATTA